CACTTTCAACGGACTTTAAAAAGAATTACCGCTAGAATTAAATAGTTTCCATCTAGAAAACTTTGATTTAAAGGTAGATTAGGAACATTTTATAAGCTATTTTTGTTGGATGGTATCTTTATGGACTTTGACGCAGATCTCGTACTGCAAAAATCCATATTTTCATGTTTTTTGCACTGTTTTCTGGGGGTTTTGCACATTTGTGTTAGCTATTTTAAAAACATACGATTACTGATAGTTCAGTTGATAGAGCAGAGGACTGCAGTGGGTTCGAACAGAGATCCTTATGTCGCTGGTTTGAATCTGACTCAAAACACTTGGCCCCATTCCCATATGTCGTCTGTGAGCAAGACACTCAATCTCTAACTGCTTTCATAGGTGCCTGCTGCTCTTCTTGGGTGTATCTCACGTGTACACAGAGCACAAATTTTTTCACTTAATTTTATTTTTAAACTGACAAAATACGTTTATGTTGTAGACATATCCTTCCTTCAAACCAAAGGAAGTCACAGGAGCTGTTCACTTGGCTGGCTGCCATTCCTAATGTGTGGAATCATATTCTGGTTGTACACCTACAAAGCAAACATTAGGCATTTTGTTAACACAGATGAAAGTACAAATGTTTTATTCAGACCCTCCAAATCCTTCACATTCTGCACACTTCTTTACCCGGCAGGTATCAAAAGACTAAARCCTGCTCTCATTCTAACCAGCTTTGACACATTTTCTCTTTATGACCCCCTGATGAATTCAGTGAGACGCGCTCGCAGCAGCTTGTARGTTATATTCCTCTCTGGGTTGGAGCTCAGAAGGAGCTCTGTCAAAATGGCTCCCCAGTTGATTGACTCCCAGCAGCCCTCCCAAAGGCAGCGAGAGTTCACATCGATGACTCCTTCAGCGCTGCCAGTTGAATATTAATGCGTTTAGCTCTCGGTGTGAAAAGATAAAGACCACTTAATTTGCCCGATTTTTTTATTATTATTATTTGCTTATCTCAAGGCCAGCAGAGCTAAAACCATTCTTTTGAGGTGGACTTATTGTAAACCCTTSAGTCTGAGGGCTGAGGTGGCTGTTCACTGCTCTTTATGTGACACTGTGGAAACCTCTCAAACACAGACCACAAGAGGTCATTTAGTAACATTTTCTATCATAATGTATTACAATGTAAGACACATTACCATTTCTACAGAATAAGCCGGCTATAAAAAAGGCAGTAATGTCAATAATTCAAGCTTTTGAAATAAGAAAAACGTCTTAAAAGTAACAAAATATCAGCTTTGTATGGAATTATTTCCGGTTGTGTTGGCAGTATTTTTAACAGAAAAGACGATAAGTTTTTGATTTACCAAAAACACACAACTTCAAATTTTATTTTGCACAGCCCAAGTACAGAACCTTGAAGAGGTTTTTCTTTAAAATGTATTCAGAAATGTATTACGGTTTCCGTTAATTATCTTGTGAAATTGAAGCTCTTTCATGTAGTGATAATTATCTTGAGATAATATGTTGATGTATTTAATCACTTCAATTCCTTTTTTTTTCATGATATATTCAAAATCAAAAGTAAAAAGGTTTTTCTTTTCTTTATCAACGATGACGATAGTTATGGTAATTCACGATGAAAAGGTCTCATCAAAGAGTATTTAAGCAGCGGTACACATGCATGACTTCACTTCCTGTCATGGATGATCTCTGTGTAGTGTTGAAAATAAGTGATGAAACTGGATGAAACACAATCATTTTCTCATCCCAATCTTCCAGTTAGCTCAACAAGACAGAGGACTGGTTTCACCAAATACCTGTCACTTTTAGTGGATAGTGAGTTGAAGCAGGACCCGGCCGCAGGCGAGCAGCAGGGGTTCAGCTTCAAAACTCAGTTTAACTTCAGAAACAACTTTTTCCTGTCAACATGTAGTGAGAATGCTGAGTGTTGAGTGACTGATGAAATCTGTTAAAGAAGAAACAACTGAGATGTAGCAAAACACTAGTTAAAAGTGGTCAAATGTTAGCAAAAAGTAACAAAATATTGAACAAAATTAGCACTAGCTAAAAAGAGCTAAATATTAGCGAAAAGTGGCTAATGTTACCTAAGAACAAATAAKCAAATGCTGGCTAAAATAGGCAAAATGTTATCTCAAAGTGAAAAAGGTTTGGTTCAGAAAGCTAGCTAAAAGGTGAATGCATCCTAGCTAAAAGTAACAAAAAGCTAACTAAAACAACAAAAGTAACAAAATGAGAAAAGTAGAAAAGAATATGGCAGAAAACAGATATAAAACTTGTAAAAAGCTATCTAAAAGAAGCAAAAGGCTAACTAAAACTAAGTGTTAGCTAAAAACTACACGTAGTAAGATAAAAGTAGCAAAATGAGAAAAGAGAGAAGAAAGATCGAAGTAAAATGCAGAAGAAAACAAAATATAAGTAGTAAAAATCTATCTAAAAGAAGCAGAGAGCTATAGCAAAGGATTATCTAAAAGCTACAAGTAACAAACTGCTAATTAGAAAATAAAATAATGAATAAAGAACAAAAACAAAGAAGAAAGATTTGACAAAATTAGCAAAACCATAAAAAAATTATAATGAAACGGCTTATAAAGTGAACAATGTTTAAAATGAATTAAACAGATTTCAAGATTCTTCTATAGTGAAAATAATTGCAAAGTTAAATGCTTTAAAAATTATAAACYTTTCATAAACCAAAAGTCACAGTAAATTAACTAAAAAAATAAAAATAACATTTCTGAATAAGCTGAATGTTTTTATATATATAAACACCACAAAGTAATACTGTATGTGTATATTCAGTATATACTGTATATAACAGCACAAAGTAATACTGTTAGTGTATACAGTATATATATATAAAGCACAAAGTATGCAGAATTAAAAGTCAGGAAAACAATTGTGCAGTACATAAGTCTGTCAGAAATAAGTCCAGTCAAATCCCAGTTCAAAGTTTTATTTACTCGTAAGGGAAAACTGCAAATGGGAGTTTTGCTTTTCAACAACTGATTATTTTCTAACGCCATACAGACGACCACCAATTACATAAAAAAAACATAATCTCTGCACAGCCGGGGCTTCCGGTTTTTATCTGTTTAATGTTTTTTCAAAAGTATTATTGTCTCTGRGGGGCCTCAAACTCCAGCCTTGAATTTGTGCCAATTACATTCCAAGTGCTGCATGTGTGTGAATGAGCTCCAGTGTCAACAAAGTGCCTTTTATAGCCGACTGTGCGATGGTCAAAGCCTGTATCTGCTGGAGCCTGCTGGTAAACTCAGCCCTCATCAGGGAGAACTGGGAGTCTCCTCTCCAGTGTGCTATGGCTGGTATGAGCACGTCTATAAAGCAGGAACTCATCACCCTCAGAGAGGATCTTCTTGCTCTTTTCCTAGCTGCAGTTTGCTCCGTTACATGGCACCAATGTGTCAAATAGATTTCTACTTAAATAGAGAAAGGAAGCTTTAGTGGCTGCAGTTACTTAAACAACGCAGGACTTTTTCAAACATTATTATTGCTATTCTTCAAGTACAACTCTTACACTAATTAAAGCTAAATGCTGTGCATATTTGTACATAAAGCTGCACAAATACAGTACAAAAACATGACTGTTTACAATACAGCGACACAAACTTCATTGAAAAGTTGCCTCTTACTTGGTTTTCCACACACTTTAATTATCATAGAAATTGGCTTTTAAAGCATGAAAATATCAAAAGAGGCTTGTCAAATTTCAGACAAGCCTTCATGTGTCACAAACTGGTGAAGAATGGGTCTGACTAAACTGAAATCAAAGTGACAGATTTCTTTTTGATCACAAAGGCGGAGCTCAACAAAAAGCTGGAATGTTTAATAAAAGACAGCGAAAAAAGAAAATCTTCTGTTTTCTTTTTTTTTTTTTTTTGAAAAAGCAAAATTGCTTCTTTTATTTAACAGTCACTGTTGAAGAAACTCGAAAAAGGGGCAAAAACTCCTCGACTTCTTTTCTGTGTCTGCAAACGAATTTCTGGAACCAAGGATGACTTTGCATTTTCTTTTCCYAGGCCGAGAGGAAACCCACTGGGAGACAGTGGTGGGCAGGTGCAAAATCAATTTCCAATCTCAGCAGAGATAAAAAAAAAGTTCTTACCCAGTAACCTTCTGCTGAGCTGAGCACAGTAAATCAATTTGTGTTGGGAGGGAAGTATGATAAAATCTCACTTGAGCTGAAAAAGTGGGGCAAACAAATAGAAAGGTCATCTCCTAAAGGGCGACACAAAAGGAAACATTTATGCAGACTGAACTGGATTTCCTCTGCAGTTTGTAAATCAGTGAATGGACAAACGCCGTGTGGTTGTTTGTTACAATCAGCTGGGAGCTGTTTACAACTCAGAAGAGTTGGAAAGAAAGGGATGTCAAAGGTTTCCCGTTGTCAGAAAAATGGAACCCCTCACAGCCTGCTGTTGACCAACTATTGGCCCTGAACAAGGAAACACAGTCACCAAACTGCTCCCATACAAACGTTTTGTTTGTGCCGATGTTTACGGGGTGCATGCTGGATGCTTGGCCTCTCCCTGTCAGTGTCCAGACAACTGCTGCTAAAACACACTCAGCACACATCGTCACACAGGGGATCCAGTTTTTATTATTAAAGTAGCTCAGGGTCACAATGTTAATCTTTGAGCTTCCCCCGCTAACCCACCCCCCACC